AATTCTGAAAAAAGCATATTTGTGGTTGATATTTTAATTTCATTCTCCCCATTTTTAAAAATATCGGCTGTCCTATCAACTACATATTTAAATTTTTCTTCATCTTCTTCGTCAAATTTACGCGAAAATAAATTAGGTATTGAATTGAATATCTTTGAAAAAAGTGTTTTAGATAGAGCTTTGTTTAAATTTCCAATTTTATCCATTCTGTTTTTTTAAGTATCTATTTTTAACTAGGAATTTTTAAATTTTATTGATGATATTTCTACATCAAATTTATCTAAAATTTCATTGAATTTTTCTAATTCTTCAATGGTTATGTTCTTATCTTCTCTCGATCTTTCGAAAAAAATGAATAATTTATTAAGATATGTATTTAAAATTTCTGTTTTCCTTTTATAATGAGCTTTCTTTTTTGATGTAAAAACCTAAAGTAATAAATCCACAAGATGAAGTTTGAACGGCAGTGAACGCGGCTAATACAGTTGGGACAATTATTGGAAGCATTAATCCACCGGTTACGTTATCCCTATTGTTAAAACTGTACTTAATGTTTTGAAAACAGAATCCATTCTACTCCATGTTTTTCTACATTTGTTGAATTGTTTTAGTTTTTCTTTTAGTTCGTTTTGTTTGTCTATCATATATTGTTGTCTACTTTCGAGTTCCATTTTTTTAGGTAATTAAATTAAATGAATTTCTGATAAAGCTACTTCGCGTTTACTAAGGATATTTGTTCTTTCAAATCAATAATCTTATTCAGATAAACTGAAAATTTTGGTTTTCTAATAGTGATAACTATTTTAACAAATACATCATCTCTTTTTGCTGGTATCAAAAAAAAATTTTTTGTTGACTTTTATGAATATCAATTGAGGAAAATATATCATTATCAACAAAATATAGTTTTACGTATTCAAAGTGTGATGATCGTAAAAACTGATAAACGCTTGCTTCTTTTTGTGGTTTGGATTTCTAATACTACTTGCTGATGGTGGAGTTTCCGTTTTCAATATCATATCAAAATGAGAAAATGTAAGATCTTCTTCTTCATTAACTGGAATGATTAACATTCTAAACCTATCTATATATTTTCCACTCGTTTTAATTTCATATAAGTGTTTAAACTTGCAGTTTTCGTCGTTAATTTCTAATTCTATAGATTCTACATTTTCTGTACCATTGATAAACTGAAGAACTTTACGAGCGTTAAATTTATTTAATAAACGAAAGTTTTGTCTGAAGAATATTGTTTTAACTTTTACCTGAAAAGGAAAAGTTATTTCAATTGCAAGTTTTCCTTTGAAAATAAAAGCTTTATTATCATGAAATATTGAATTGGGATTATCATATTTTGGTTTATATACTCTTATAATTCCATAATTTTTATATTCATACTCTCTTGATCTATCAATATTATCAGTAAGAGAAGCATCTTCATAACTCAAATTTCCAAATGGAAGATTGAAATAATATGATTTATTTTCTTGCTTGAGTTGCTTTTCTATACGACTATATTTTTGTCCTGTTTCAAAACTAGGTTATTAATAGTGGTTATCTGTTGTTGAATAACACTATCATCAATATTTTGTATTTGTTGTTGAATATAGGTTTTGATTTCGCTATCATCTATGTTTTGTATTTGTTGTTGAATAAAGGTTTTGATTTCGCTATCATCTGTTTTGTATTTGTTGTTTAATATTTGTTAGTTCTTTTTGTAATTCACTGTTAAGTTTAGTTTCCAGAGCATTTAATTCCCGTTGAAACGTATCTTCATCTTCATCTGAAATGTTATCTATTAAATGTTGAATGTCTAATTTTTGTTTTGCAATCTTATCCTCTAATTTAGATATTAATGAAATTAAATTTTGTAACTCAGTTTTATTCGCAACGTTGACCAATTCTTTTTGAATAAAACTTATTAAACCTTTTACCTCTTGTTGTAGTTTAGTATCATTAATAAAATTTTTATTATTTAGTTGACGTTTGAAGAATCTTTTCACATTACTCATTTTATCTTCTAAATGGTTTTTATTTACCTTAATTGAATTTATTTGATCCCGTAAATATTTCTTGTGAACGGCGTCATTATCGTTTTCCGGAGACTTTAAATTAGTTATGGTAAAATTATTCATATCTAAATCACCTTGAAGAGTGTCTCCGATTTGATCCACAAAGTAAGGTTTCGCTTTATTTATCCGCGCTGTAGTGTTAGTTTTTTTGGTTTCTAAAGATAAAGAACCTAATCCAAACTTCTTCGCCATTTTTATTGAGTTAAATTTATTACAATTTCTTCAAACTGTTTTCCTAAACTTAATTGATATAAAACCCAGAGTGAAACCTGACCACAACTGTTTTGTCCCGGTAATTGAATTTGAAAGGTAGAACATTTAATTGGTTTATTAGTCAATTGCATTATCTCTTCAGTGGGTTCTAATCCATAAGAATCGAAGAAATATAAGTCATTTGAAGAGTCTTTGTACAAAGCAGAATGGTGAACTCCTTTTTGATCGGAAGTATGTATATTTGTTATAGCGTAAAATTTACTTTTCTTATATTTCAGATCATTTATTTCCTCTCTCATACAATAATAAAACGGTGATATATTTAACCCATTCGCCCATCTCATTAGTTGAAAGTTTGTGGTTGTATCGCTTCCATATTTATCGAGAAAGATATTCATTTTGAAGTTCGTTTTGATAAAACCTACCTATGATTTGTTCTTTGTCTTGATCGATTAATTCATATGTCGGAGGTGATGTGCTGTTTACTTTATCAACGATGAATATTTCGTTTGTCCAGTATCCAACGTAACCTTTTTCGAATTTGCTTTTATATTTGAAAATACGATTTGGGTTTGATATTTAAATTCTTTATTTCATTTTCGTAGTTATGTTGCACGTTAATTGACTTTATAATATTTGGATTACTCGAGGCTTGTGTTGATGTGACACATATAGATGAATGAATTTTGCTATTGTATTCATCTACAACCCCTGGTAATATTTTAAGCCATTTTTGAGATTTCAATTCCGTGAACTTTGAAAAATTTATTTTT